GATTAATATTATTTTATGGGAAATTCAACTATGGCATGAATTGTAATCGCTGTTCTTTGTTTTATTTTTACGGAAGACGTAACTACATTGGTAATATTAGCCTTATTCTTTATAAGAAAATAGTCGGCATTCATTGCTCAAATAGCCAGGGTTGCTGTCGATAGGGCTGTGTATGACGATAAACTCCATCTGATCGGGAGATTGGAGATGCTGAGGTGTGTGGAACGACGTCTTAATTGCTTTTGTTCCCAAGTCCATCCTGACCTGTGGTGGTAGCACCTGTTAGCCTCTCAGCTATGGGAAAATAGTGAAACCCATGAAAATAGCGAGCACGTGGCCAAGTGGTTAAAATGTTGGTTTTCTGAACATGAGACGCGGGTTCGAATCTCACCATGGTCGATTTTTCAGGAATGTGACTTCTTAATATTATCGGTGCAGAGGCGATCCCAGGGTACGGCACCTTTGGAAAGCATACCACGGATTTAACCAAGCCTTGTAAGTGAAATTGGGTAGATAGAACCCATTGGGAGTCGTCGTTGGTTGTACTAGTAAGAAGTCATAAGTAACCGTGCTAGCCTACTTCAGATTATTGATCACGCTAGAAACTGTAAGAAAGATCCGCTCAGCATATATGGGCTTCCTGTGTGTTAAATAATCACTCACAGAGCAGGTGTCTTCAATGGGGATTAGCTAGCCATTAGATGCGAATGGCTGTGCTATTTACATTTTTATAGTAAAAAGACCAGCTATACATTTTTATATTAAAAAGAAAATGACCACTGGTCATTTTTTGTAAGCAAAATGCCCAACAATACTTTCAATCCGTAGCTGAAGGCATACAATTGCATTTAAAATATATTTAGTTGAAGCTACTTCGTTATTTACATTTCGGCATTAAATAACCCGTCGTCGTTGATAGGCTAAGCAATATCAGCCAACAAAGTGCTGTCGGTTTATTTATAAAATGTTTTTCTTAAAACTATTGTTCAGGAAAATAGCTTTCTCAACTCCAGTAACTGTTATAGATCTTTCTAGTATTGGTGGCGGTTTCTTTCCTAACCTTTTGTTTGAAGTTGTGCGCAACATTCTGATAATCCCATTACATTCTTTTCGACTTATATGTGATGTACATGATAGTTTTTTGTTACTGTTGAAAGTCAACAAGAGACGCGTTTTATGTTCCTTGTAATTGTTTTTTTCTCGGCACGTGGCCGAGTGGTTAGAACCTTCGCATTCTGATAATGAAACACGGTTTCGAATCTAACTATGGTCGATTTGACACGAAGGAGACTTCCTGATGTTATAGAACTGGAGGCGTCGTTCCCAGCGTGCGGCATCTATGAAAAGTGCTTCAAAACCATACCACGAGTTGACCCCAAGACTTGTGAGTAAAATTGTGTAGACGTAACCTTTGGCTGCCGTCGATAGTAGTGCTACCACGAAAACACAAGTCGTCGTGTCCGAGCGTGCTGGCTTTGTTCAACTTGTTGATCACGCTAGATAACAAGCTCTTCGCCAGAAACTGTAACTAAGGTTTGGTCACCATTGTTGTAGTATAAAGAACAGGTAAGCTCTGTGGGTCTTGAATAAACACAAATACGCCTGAGCAAGTGTAGACATGTATAATAGGAGTGGCCAGCTTTACATACGGGATTGTTTTTGATGATTATTCTATGGCGTGTTTTGAAGAATAATGGTCGTCCCTAAGACATACAGACTTAATATTTCTGAAGTCTGCTTTGGCCTTCGATTTAAGAAAGCGATTGTATAGTGCTGACAGTTGAGATATTTCTGAACGGGTTTGATACTAATCATGGCATCCATATGAAATTCTCATTCAAAGAGGGATGATGTTCGCCAAGGACCTCAGGTTTCATTCACTCAAAGTGCTTCTCACCCTTGATCTAATGAAGCGGTTGTATACAGTTGAGAGTTTAGATATTTCTGAAGGTGTTTGGTACCATGAATGGCATCCATATAAAAGGCTCGTTCAACGATCTTTGACGTGGCCCTCAGGTTTCACTCGCTCAATGCCTTCTTCAGCATTGATCTTACAGAGCAGTTGTATACAGTAGACTGTTTAGATATTCCTGAAGGTGTTGTTACCATGAATGACATCCATATGAAAGTCTCGTTCAACGAGGGATGATCTTTGCTAAGGCCAACAGGTTTCACTAAATCAAATCCTTTTTTCTCAATTGATCTTAGGAAGCCGTTGTATAGAGGTGATATTTCTGAACGGGTTTGATGCCATGCATGACATCCATATAAATGTCTCGTTCAAAGATCTTTGACGTGGCCCTGTAGTTTCAATCACTCGTTGCCTTTTTCAGCATTGATCTAAGAGAGCATTTGTATACAGCAGACTGTTTAGATATTTCTGAAGGGGTTTGATACCATGAATGGCATCCATATGAAAGTCTCGTTCAACGAGGGATGATCTTTGCCAAGGCGCGCAGGTTTCACTAAATCAAAGCGCTTTTTCACTATTGATCTTAGGAAGCTGTTGTATAGAGTTGATATTTCTGAACGGGTTTGATGACATGCATGACATCCATATAAAATTCTCGTTCAAAGAGGGATGGTCTTTAATGTGGCCATCAGGTTTCACTCGCTCAATGCCTTTTTCATCATTGATCTTAGGAAGCGTTTGTATACAGCTGAGAATTTAGATATTTCTGAAGGTGTTTAGTGCCATGCAAGATATCCACATGGATGTCTTCATGTGACAAGTCAAGTAAATTAAATGAGTTGAGTTAGGGTTTTGTAGCAGTATGTGCCATCGAGCAAAACTAATGATGCTTGGGAAACTTCAAGCATTTTATATTAATATTATACCAATACTTTGGGTAATATTATGGGAACTTACCCATACTAAAAATGGACTATTCCTGGCATTATAAATACTGCGCCTCCCAAGAAGTATGAGGAGATTGTAAGACGAAGAGAGATAATTGAGAGCATATTGTAAGGACATTGGAATAGTGATACTTGTCGAGTCAACATATTTCACCCTAACCAAATCTGATAGTCATTACTAATACTTCTACTTCTTTGTATTATATTTCTGTTGTATTATATCTTTCTATTCCATACCTGTGTTCGTGTTATTCTTTCATTTGTACTAAACTTGGGCCATCACCGTGGTACAAGGTATCTTGACCATAACATGTACAGATACCATCTTCTTGAGAAAAAGACAATATAATTGAAACAAATATATCTATATCTAGAATAAATTAAAATTCCGTTTCCTTGCAGAACGGAATCGTCCATTTTTTTTCTTATTCCCTCCTTATACCTTCTTCCAAGCAAAGATACTTAACATATCTACATTCTTCGAAACTAAAGCAAATTTATGCAATTGAATGAGTCTGTTAATATCAGGTACGATTTCACACTGAGGAACTGACGATAGACCACGAAAGATTCCAGAGACGACCAGCAAGTATAATATATGAGGTAAAACTAATAATATACAACTTTTTGTTTTTCTTTTTTTTGGATACTTTTTCTCTGTTTGTTTTTTGTATATTTCTGTAATTAATATAAAAGGTTGGCATTTTTTTAAGGAACATTTAAAGGAAAATCCCTCGTATTATCATGAATGGCGTAAACTGTGCGGAATTAACCACCAGTGGCAATTAACAGAACGAAAGGTGTAACGATATTTGATTCCTCGCTGTGTAGAAAAACATCAATGATTCAAAATAAAGTAAATAAAAGCAACCTGAATAGAAATGACCGTTCTTGATTAAGTCTGTTGAAACAGCGTTGTGGTCCTCACTGAGAAATTTCCGAAAGAAGTAGCGATATTTGATTCCTATCTGTGTAGAAAATCTACGGTTCCAAATAAAGTGAATAAAAGAAACCTGAACAGATATGACTGTTCTTCAATAAGTCTGTTGAAACAGCTTTGGGGTCCACATTGAGGAACTGACGAAAGGAGTAGCGATATTTGATTCTTCGCTGTGTAGAAGAAAATCTACGACTCAAAATAAACTGAATAAAAGAAACCTGAACAGAGATGACTGTTCTTGATTAAGTCTACAGAAACAGATTTAGGGTTCCCACTGAGGAACTCCCGAAAGTAGTAGCGATATTTGATTCTTTGCATATTAGAATAAAACCTACGACTCAAAATAAAGTGATTAAAAAACAATTTGAACAGAGATGAATGTTCTTGATTAAGTCTGTTGAAACAGCGTTGTGTTACCCACTGAGGAACTGCCGAAAGGAATAGCAATATTTGATTCCTTGCTGTGTAGAAGAAAATCTACGATTCAATCTAAAGTGAATAAAATAAACCTGAATAGAGATGACCGTTCTTGATTAAGTCTGTTGAAACAGCGTTGTGGTCCTCGCTGAGGAACTGCCGAAAAGAATAGCGATATTTTATTCCTTGGTGTATAGAAGAAAATCTACGATTCAAACTAAAGTAAATAAAATAAACCTGAATAGAAATGACCGTTCTTGATTAAGTCTGTTGAAACAGCGTTGTGGTCCTCACTGAGGAACTGCCGAAAAGAATAGCGATATTTTATTCTTTGGTGTATAGAAGAAAATCTACGATTCAAACTAAAGTGAATAAAATAAACCTGAATAGTGATGACCGTTCTTGATTAAGTCTGTTGAAACAGCGTTGTGGTCTCCACTGAGGAACTGCCGAAAGGAATATCGATATTTGATTCCTCGCTGTGTAGAAGAAAATCTACGATTCAATCTAAAGTGAATAAAATAAACCTGAAAGGAGATATATGTTTTTGATTGAGTCTGATGAAACAGCGTTGTGATCCCAACTGAGAAACTGCCTAAAGGTGTGGCGATATTTGGCTCTTGGTTCTGTAACCAATCAATACTCCAGGTAGTCATGATCCTCTAGAAAGATTGTTGCTGCACAATCTTCAAAACAGACACCACCTCAAATGTTTACTTTATAACAATTTTCCTATTCGTATTTTTCAGGTGTGACAACTATTTTGAGTCTGGCAGCTATCAGTATGACGGTGCGTGAAGGACTACCCCGGGTACCATATGCCACTGCGCTTGATATTTTCCTTAACGTCTGCCTTGTTTACAACCTTTCTGCCCTCATCGAGTACGCAGGCGTAAATTACTTTACCAAAACTGGACCCGGGGACCCACCCGGGAACGAAGAAGACGAGGTAAAATTCAATGCAAATATTCATTTTTTAAATATTCTTAATTAGATTAAGAATTTATAACATTTCACATGTACAGCTAAAATATCGGAACATACATAGAAGGAAATGAAACATGGATTATTGCCTATATAGATTCGCATGTGTAGTCACTCATACAGACACACACACGGCTTACAGTCACATCACGTTGTAAACACCTGTTCCCTTACGTTCACTGAAGACAGGAAACTCAACCATGGTCAGTAGCTACATGAGTAGCTACATGAGTAGCTTGTGAATGCCAGGTGTTATAAGCTTGGAGGTACGGGTAGCGTAATGAATAATGGCTCTTATTATTTGATCGAAGAACCAACCTATACCCGTTCTCTTTGTTATATTCACTTACGCGCAAATACCTTTGGGAAAAGGTATAAATCCACCTCTTTTCCCCCCATCTAAGGGTGAATTATTAAGACTTGTATTACTAAACGATAACTATGACTTAAAAACACAAAAGACGTTATTACAATTAAAAATAACTATTTCCCGGTTTTAAATAACCTGCAATGTTTTGATAAGCCCTAGAAAACACATCAATGAATTAATCAATCAACACACACACACATGTTTTGGCCAATGACTTCTGAATATACATTATTATATATATGGTTGACACCATGGTAGTGTAAGTGTCTGTTCTCCGAATTTATCATGGTTCGTATTCATATATATATATATATATATATATATATATATAATGAAATGGACAAAGTCAAACAATTATTTTAAGACATTTTTATGTTTATACGTTCTTTTTATAGATACAAATATATAAGTAAATGCTTTGTTTATAATAAACAGAGCATTTATTTAAATATTTGTATCTGATTCCTGGTAATGCCACCGAGGAACAACTTCAATGATAAGGGGGTGACGGAAAGTTCCTCACTTTTATTTTGTATTTTTATTTACTTTCATGTTTTCATTTTCATTCATATTAAAATTTGTGTATTCAACAATTTTCTTTGCCTTACTTTGAATGAGATTTGTGTGGCCTTTTTAATATGAAATTGATGCAACAATTTCCAGCGTCATATTCGCTGCATGTTATAGAAATCTTAGAAGCGTCTACTTCAGTATGTTGTTTGCAAGCTTTTAAATGTCATTAATGAGGGTGAGGAAATTATGAAAGCGAATATTTGTCATTGTTTCAAAATCTGTCTGCTTTTTTGTTCAGCACAGAAATATTCTATTTTTGTATCCGAGCCGATAAAAACGGTTTAATCACCAAAAGGTGGACAAAATGCTGTTTCGATGTATTAGAATCTGGTAGGTAAAAACTTATTCAAAATATTTTTTATCAACGTAGATAAGAAAGTACAATGAATTGCAAGATCTCAGTTAATTTACTCGGTTAAAGAATTGATTTCTGGTTCAGAATGTGGACTAATAAAAAGACGACTCATATCATTCAATATAAATAAGGCTTACCATATTATCCAGAGTGTCAGACTCAATTCCTCAGCCGATGCAACTCCCATTGTTTTTTTGTTATTCTCCCTTTTTAGATTATTTTAATAGAGTATAGACATTATGTAGTAGAGACAAGCCGGCCCAGTATTCTTTTATATCTTCTCGGTACGGCCGAGAGAATTGGGAGGCTTGTAGTCTGGGCAGCGCACGGCCTCTTTATACAATACCCGAAGTCTGCGAACCTGGGAGCTCACTACAGATTCACGAGCAAAGGACAATTTTGAACAGGTGGTGAGAAACTTTATCGCGCTAGATAAATCATTGCCTACATTATATATATATATATATATATATATATATATATTAATATATATATATATATATATATATATATATATAATAATAATAATAATAAGAAGAAGAAGAAGAAGAAGAAGAAGAAGAAGAAAAGGGCGCAAATACTAATATTCCTATATAATTATAATTTATTACATTGGAATCGTAATCATGATCCAATTCATCGGACCTACTAATTAAGAAGTTTTTTTTTTTTAATTTGAAGGTCTGATGAATTGGATCGTGATTACGATCCCAATGTAATAAATTATAATCATGGAAATTTGTGTTTCAGCCTTTTTATTATATTCTTACTCTGTCCTGGACATTGAGTTCACTTGCAAAATTTATATATATATATATATATATATATATATATATATATATATATATATGTATGTATATATATATGTATATATATATATATATATATATATATATATATATATATTATATAGATATTTATATATATATGTGTATGTGTGCATTGAAACTAATATTATATATATATATATATATATATATATATATATATATATATATATATATATAAACAATATATACAAGGAATTAAATAGCAATATTTATGTGATTAATGACGGAATCATTTCGCTAACAATGAGTCATTAACTTACTATCAATTCGTTGAATAATAAGAACCTTAAATTCGAGAAGTTTTCGGATGGAAGACACATGCCAATAATCAGAATCTTAAATTCTGTGGAAAACTACTAAGACATTACTCTAGTAATCGGGATATATTTAAGTTCATGTTACTTTAAAAGATAAGAAAATTTCCTGGACTTATCACAATTCAAAATTCTCACATGATTTTAGTCGTAACTCTAGCGTCGCGGCATCATATTTAACTGTCAATAAATAGTATATTTTTAAAAAATCTTTCTTTCTCAACATATTTCGACTATCTATGGGAAAAATTACGCCCTGAAGAAGAGAATTTAAATTGTTGAAATACTTTGGATGTGTCTTCCATCCGACAACAACTCGATTATAAAGATCTTATTATGCAAGAATAATATATATATATATATATATATATATATATATATATATATATATAATGGTCTCTCCCGTCGGTTTCGACGTATGAGGATCTGACAGCTTATTGATTCAGTTATGAAATTTTGTGCGATAATCTTAAGTGACATTTAAAACCCGCTATTGATTTACAAAGTAGGCCACATACGGAGCAAGAGTGAGGAGTGTGGGCTGAGATCACTGTTAGATTGGCTGACCTTTTAGATCTTGCACTCGCTTCTTGAAGCCGATGCAAACAAGCTGATTGAAAACTGCTGAGTCCACGTCTGTCTCTATTCTACTCGCTTCAAGACTATGCGCTCGAGAAATTTTGACAGATAGGTATATATATATATATATATATATATATATATATATATATATATATATATATATATATATATATATGAAGAAATATACTCTTAAGGTGTGCTATACTTATGGGATAAAGTCTTCAATATCAGAGACAGAGCGTGTGTAAATATAAAAGTGAACATTGAAGTCAACACTTAGAGGCGACAGGCTGTTTCATGCTAGACGCAATCCTCAGACCATATATATATATATATATATATATATATAGAGAGAGAGAGAGAGAGCGGGGGGAGACGAGAGAGATCGTATCGCGTAACATGCTGGAAATGGCTGCATCATTCATATATATTTTTACCTATGAATAAAATTGTATCGGGCAGATTACATAGATTCCTTGTAAAAAAAAAAGCTTGGATTTGTTTATTGATTATTATCTACTCGCAGTAAATATTTATATCGATTAATATTTACTGGTAGTAAATAATTATATTGATTAATATTTACTGGCTGTAATTTTTTATATTGATTATTATTTACTGGCTGTAAAATGATACAGTTAAACGGTTTCCCATGTTTTGAAATTGTCAATGATTCATAATTCTAATTTTTAGGATTGATTATTTTCATGAAGCGAACTGTAGACACGTGATTTTCGATTACCCAATTGTTTTTTCTTTCTTACTTGCCTAATACTGAGAAAGAGATACTATTATTATGTTTGGTTTCTTTTTGTCACTAAAAACAGAAAGAATCTCTTACCTTTCAATCAAATGTCCATTAATAATCCAAAACAATAACGAGGTGTATGATATATTATTTATGTACAAGGTGTTACAGCAAAATCCGACACTTGACAAAAAGAAAACGAAATCTCCATCTATAAAAGACAGGATGTGTGTGTGTGTGTGTGTGTGTGTGTGTGTGTGTGTGTGTGTGTGTGTGTGTGTGTGTGTAACGAATGCACAGACGCAATTTTCGACGGATTTGCACCAAAAATTTACATGCACATACTCCAAGTTAGTGGGAAGGCCAAGACCGACATTGCATTTCCCAACTCCCATCGATAGTGGAAATAATCGATTTTTTTCATGTTTCTACGGTAGCGTCCATGTAGTTTGCGGCCATTTTCTACTGGCCAGAGTGAGAGCCTATAGCTGGCTGCCACGAATAGGCAAGAAGATTCTATTGGCCAGCGTGAGAGCCAACAGCTGACTGAAACGAATGTTAACTAGCATGCTAGCATGCCAAAAAATCGATAGCTGCATTCGTCACAAGTGCGAAAAATTTAAATCATCATGGCACTTTACTCCATTTGGCTCAATCGCTTGCTTAAACTCAACGTTGATTCTGATTCCGTAGAACTGGGTTGGGTGTGAAAAAGTAGTTGTTGTTAACATTCTTTTTTCATTCGGTTTTTCCAGTTACGAGTCCTTTTTTAAATCTGATCGTTTTGTGTTCATTTTGTTTAGTTCTTTTTTCGTAACAGATTTAATGTTTAGTATAGAGCTTAGAAAAAATTCGCAGTGTGAGATAGGCAAGAAGTAAGGCATGTAGCAATATCATTACGGCAAAGGGCACTCCTTTAAAGGCAAGGAAGGGCACAAATTTTTTAAGTCAAGGGATAGTGATTACTGTATGAGTCGTACGATTTTGAATCAAGCACGAGCAACGCCGGGCCGACAGTTTATTTAGCAACAGATAGAGTTACATATTACATTATTTTTCAATGTAACCGCTGACGCCGGTGACGACCATCTCAAGGCGGGCGCGAAATGAGTCACACGCATCGGCGACCATGTCTATAGCGGCGTGTTGTGGTCGTGCTTTTGGTCTTGCCCTTGGTCACCCACCAGAAGGAA